TCATTTCTTGATGTGGTATAAAGGCCAAATCAATGGCCTGCCCTTCACAATACATTGGGCCACTGGCATTACTGAGACCAAGAATAGGAGCACTGGTCAAGTTCAGTGTCTCTCAGCTTCTCATTTTCCTGAACTCAGACCTGTTCAGACCTTCACATTTCCAGTTTGCTATGTACCTCATATTGCATAAAGACCACCAGGAGGGCCTCATCTGCTGATTTCAAAGCACAGTTGATATGGGAGGAGGTGTTCTTGCAGACATTTTGGGTCATAATAATAATAATTGGGTCATCATCATCATCATCATTATTATTAATAATACCCCACCCATCTGCCTGGGTTTCCCCAACCACTCCAAATAGAATATTAAAAACACGATAAGTCCATCAAACATTAAAAACTTCCCTAAACAGGGCTGCCTTCAGATGTCTTCTAAAAGTCAGATAGTTGTTTATTTGCTTGACATCTGATGGGAGGGCATTCCACAGGGAGGGCGCCACTACTGAGAAGTTCCCTGTAACCTCACTTCTCGCAGTGAGGGAACGGCCAGAAGGCCCTCGGAGCTGGACCTCAGTGCCTGGGTAGAACGATGGGAGTAGAGACACTCCTTCAGGTATACTGGACCGAGGCCGTTTAGGGCTTTAAAGGTCAGCACCAACACTTTGAATTGTGCTCGGAAATGTACTGGGACCCAAGCTGCTTTGGGTTTTAAACATCTGAGTAAACCCCATGATCCCCCCACTCTATCTGAGCCCAAACAACAGCACCTCCCAGAGAAAGGAGATGAGGTATGTTCAGGTTACTGATCCTTCTCTACTCCACTCACTTGTCCAGATAAAGTCAGGTGAAAAGACAGCAACAGCAAACAGGAAGGACACCCACGTAATCAAACTCCATCAGCAACCAACTGTGGGGGGCCTGTTGGGATGCAGACCTTGGCAAGTACCCGCCGATGCCAACCACTGGTACTGGCCCCTGGGTTTGACTCTGCAAAAGGCACCTTCAAGCGTTCAAGTGCAGCCAAGGAGAGGTTAGTCTGATGTCTGGTTACGTAGGAGTGTCAAACAAATAGGAAACACTCGTTTAGTGCTTGCATTGGTATTCCGGACATAAGAGAATGACGGAGGGTTGGCCATTGGGGGAGAATTTTTCATTCTATAAATAAATGTTCCAGTTACCCACCGAGAGAGAGAGAGAGAGAGAGAGAGAGAGAGAGAGAGAGAGATCAACATGTGCTGAATGAAGTATGATTTAAACTGTGGCTTGATATTAATCACTGACCTGTCCCCACCATCAACACCGTCACCAACCCTAATTCAGGATGAACCCCATTCCTAGATCTCTCTCCCCCTCTCCCGTAATACTAACAGCATGAAAGTCACATTACAAGTGAAATATTAACAATCCCCCCACACCAAAACAGCTCAGCTCAAGAGAGGGGAGCCAAGAAATCCAATTTTAATTTCCCCAGTTCCTAATGTGTCATGCGACTCTTGGTCAAATCAATGGTTCAGCAAAGTGGGCCTTCTGCCCCACATTAAACTAAGGAAGATTCAAAGCAGTCCCTTTAATCTAAGAAATAAAATTTAAAAAGTAGAAGAAACCCATTTACTTGATTTAACTGAGAAGCCGCAAGCCTGTCAGTACGCAGGGAGACAAGAGCGGTTATGATTTAGTAATTCCCCTTTGAAATATCGCTGGAGAGGAAGCATAAATCTTTTTTTCTTTCCCCCCCAAGTAACATTGTCTAAAATGGAGATTGATAGGCTTGGGGGAGAGAGAAGTAGACCTGTCATGTCTAAAAAGCATTTTGATGGCTGATGGAGGGTGAGGTTGATTTGGGGAGGGGGGTGGGAGAATGTAGATGGAAATTAATAAATAAAATTTCCAGCTCAAAAACGGTCCAGAGGGGGCCTCGGATTGTTTGTGGTTTGTGGCAGGGGGTTCTTTCTTCCTTGTGGGAAAAAGAAACTTGCAGTTTTAAGAAAAGTTCTTTAAGACTCCAAAGCTGAAGACTGAGATATATATATTTATTCCAATAGAATAAAAGTTGGAGTGATGAGAGGTTGCTTTTTTAATGCCTGTGTAGCAGGATTGTATTCCTCTTGTCCCACTTTTGTGTATGGAAGCCCTACGCACAAACCTGCTGGACCAGAAAAAACCGTCAGCATCACCAGGTATCTGCTGAGGACCATGCCCCACTGAGTGGCACTGTGCCAATCCTGGAGATACCT